AGGCGAGCGCTCTACCACTTGAGCCACAGTGCCACTTCCGGTTTTCTAGTGGTTTATTGGAGATAAGAGTCTCACAGACTTTCCTGCCCGGGCTGGCTTTGAACAGTGATCCTCAGATCTTAGCCTCCTGAATAGCTAGGATTACAGGCGTGAGCCACCGGCGCCCGGCTCCTCCCTCATCTTTAAAGTCACTTTCACCTGTGAAAGTCTTTTTTTTTTTTCTGCAGTGCTGAAGATCAACCATTGTACATACTAAGTTGGTGTTCTACCACTTGGCTACCCTTCCTCTGCTAATTCTATCTATCTATCTATCTATTGCAGACCTGTGGTTCAAACCCAGGTCCTCATGTATGCTGGGCAAACACTCTACGAGTGAGCTACATCCCTAACTGAAAATGTTATTATTAAATAAACTTTTAAGTTCAAATTTACAGAAAGATTGTAACAATAAGATAATCTCTTTCTCCAGCTTTTCCTGGGAACACCTTACATTAGCTTAGCACAGTTGATATAACTAATGCCCTTTTATCCTTTTTTGGTGATAGTGAAATTTGAACTCAGGGCCTCAGATACTCTATTCCTTGAGCCACACCTCCTACTAATGTCCTCTTCCCCTCCCCCCTCCTCTCCAGGATCCAGTTTAGAATATCATATGCATTTGATGTAATGATGAAAATGTTATTCTATGTTATGTATATTTAGAGTTCTGGCTGTTGCAGGCAGTGACTGTTAATTGATACACCTAGGATAAATTCACTTAATATATTTCAATTTTAGGTTTCCATGGCCCATGGAATACAAAACCTGATTAATGCCATCAGAATGATTCACAGTGTGTCACGGTATTACAACACCTCAGAGAGAATGACTTCTTTGTTTATCAAGGTGAGTTTCTTCTCTCATTTCTTTTTCCTTTTCCCCTCCCTCCCTCCCTCCTCCTTTTTTTGTATGCAGGGTGTCACTGTGTAGCCTAGATAGACCTGAACTCTCAAGTATCTGGCTTCTAGGATAAAAGGTGTGAGCTGCCACACCCACCTGAGAACATTCTTAGTTTCATTTAACTTTTTTTTTTCCAATAATGAGTCAAACAAATTCTGACCAAAATGAAAGTATTGTAAGTTTCTTTGAGCACCATTGTCTTGTGATTTTTCCCTACATCTTTCTTCTTTGATTCCTTATTTTTTTGCTGAAAAAAAAAATGCTTGAGCTTATTTTTTCAGAGAAGGTACACGAGGGAACTTCCTGACCTCCCCTTTAAGTGTCTTTATCTCTTCCTCTCCTCCTTCCTTCCTTCCTGCCTTCCTTCCTTCCTTCCTTCTTTCTTTTTTTTTTGTTGGTCATGGGACTTGAACTCAGGGCCCGAATGCTGTCCCTCAACTCTTCAGTTCAAGGCTAGCGCTCTACCACTTGAGCCACGGCACCAGTTCCAGTTTTTTGAGTGGTTTATTGGAGATAAGAGTCTCATGGACTTTCTTGCCTGGGCTGGCTTTGAAACTCGATCCTTAGATCTCAGCCACCTGAGTAGCTAGGATTACAGATGTGAGCCACTGGCACCAGCTTCCTTTTTGTGTGTGTGTGTGGGGGGGGGGGGTTTGGGGCTTGAACTCAGGGCCTCAGCACTTTAGCTTTTTCACTCAAGACTAAACTCTACTACTTGAACCATATCTCCACTTTCAGCTTTTTTCTGGTTCACTGGATATAAGTCTCAAATTTGTTTGACTAGGCTGACTTTGAACTGTGATCCTCAGTTCTTAGTCTCCTGAGTAACTAAGATTATAAGTATGAGCTACCAGCACCCTGCTGGAAGCTTTTGTTCATTTGGTTGTATTATCATTATTATTTTTTTTCCCCCTGGTACTGGGGCTTGAACTCAGGGCCTGGGTACTATTCTTGAGCTGCTTTTGCTCAAGGCTCTACCATTTAAGCCACAGGGCCAATTCTGACTTTTCCCGAGTAGTTTATTAGAGATAAGAGTCTCATGGGACTTTTCTGCCCAGAATAGCTAGGGTTGTAGGCATGAGACACCGGCACCCAGTCCTCATCATTTTCTCTCTCTCTCTCTCTCTCTCTTTTGCTGGTGCTTGTTTCAGACTACAGTCCTTCTCTGTCTATGCTCCCTCACAGCTAGTACCCACCATGTCTGCTTATTGATTAAGGTTGGGTTTTACTAACTTTTTGCTTGGATGATCTTGAATCACAGTCCTCCTGATCTTTGCATGGGATTGGGTTTTCTTTGTATTGAAATTTGTATTCCCCACCCCCTCTTTTTTAAATTCCATGATTCTATTCACTGTATAAGTTGAGTACTTAATCATATATGTAAGTTTGTGCACAGATTTTTTTTTATCATTTATCTACATGTATTTTAGGTAACAAATCAAATGGTGACGGCGTGTAAAGCATACATTACAGATGGAGGAATAAATCATGTATGGGATCAGGAAACTCCAATAGTACTGAAGAAAATTCAGGTTGGTAAAAGTAGTTTATTTTCACAGTAAATCCTTCCAGCCTACTGTTATTTACTTTGTTTATACAGAAAACATGTTAACTCTGTGAGAATCACATACAGACTAGTGTGAGAATACACACACACACACATACACACACACACACACACACACACGTCATTTCTAAATCTCACTGGCCTTGAGAGGACCAGGTTAAAATACGATGCACAGGGGCTGGGAAGGTGACTCAGTGGTAGAGTGTTTGTCTTGCATGCACAAGACCCTGGGTTTGATTCCTCAGCACCATATAAGCAGAAAAAGCTGGAAGTGGCACTGTGGCTTAAGTGATAAAGTGCTAGCCTTGAGCTGAAGAGCTGAGGGACAGCGCCCAGGCCCAGAGTTCAGGCCCCACCACCGACAAAAAAAAAAAAAAGATGCACAGAATGGGAACATTTTGAGAGGCTTACACTTCCCTCATCTGAGGAAGCATTAGGAGTGGGGCAAAAAAAAAAAAAAAAGCCCAGAAGTAAATGAGCCAGGAGAAAGTGGAACCTGAGGCTTGCGTTGAAAAGCATGTAAGAGGGTGGAGAAATCAATCATAGGTCTGGCAGTGAGAATTGGTCAGAAGAGGATCCGTGTGAAGTGACTCCAGCTGGGAGCCCCTTCCTCCTGGCAGGCATTCAGGATGGAAAGTTATTGCCAATTATATGAACATCCATCCTCCTGGAGTCAAGAGAATTTACTGACAAAGAAAAGAACCTTTGAGAAGTGAGTCCTCATCAGAAAGCTGTCAAGAAGACTGTCAATAATTTTAAAAAGAATCTGGAGTAGCACCTCGAGTTGATAATACAACACCCTCAGGATGCTGTGGAAGCTGGTGAATGGATTTCACCTTTTTGATGATAGAACAGAAGCTTTTGGAACAAGCTTTGAAAATGTATACAGCATAAACACACACACACACACACACACACACACACACACGGGAAAGCTACAGAGCAGTGCCTAACAGACCACACACACACACACACACACACACACACGCGCGCGCACACACACACAAACACACGCGCGGGAAAGCTACAGAGCAGTGCCTAACAGACCAGCAGCAGCAACAACAAAAGGACTGCAAGAAACAATAGAAGGAATATGTCAGATGGGAAAGGCAACCTCGCTGAGTGCAATTTTATGGGCAATAAGGAGCAAGAGGTGAAAATAGAATATATATATATATATATATAATAGATATAAGATATATCTCTCTCTATATAAAGCTGTGTTGATTTGTATAGACCTTAACGATGTAGGCAGACAACTTGAATTTTATTAGCAGCAACAGCCCCTGTGTGAGGGGGCTGATGTGATCAGTTCTATGCAGGATGGGATTTGTGACTTCCTGACTCCTGAGCGAATGTCTCATTGCCCTCTCCTCTTCTTTTCATCCTCTCCTAGGATTGCATTTTTCTATTCAAGGAATATCAGACATCTTTCCACAAAACAAGGAAACAGATTTTAGAGTCCTCAGGGGAAAAATCTTTTGAGGTTTCAGAAATGTATATTTTTGGAAAATTTGAAGCTTTTTGTAAAAGATTAGAGAAAGTAAGTATTCCACATACCCTGCCCTCAAATCATACTATTTTGATTATTTCAAGCTTTCTGTAGTACCTTTGAGAATTACCACTGGGGCGTTCTCCTTTCAGTATTGATCCAACTCATATTATTAAATGGCTCACAGATTCCTGCACTTATTGCGATTGACTTTTCCATCCCTAGTTTTTGCCTTCTCCTAGCTATGGCAAACTTCCCCATCTCTCAGGATGTCAGTTCTGCTTCTGTCTCTGGGTCTGGAACGTACAAGCTTCTGCTCTTGACCACTGCATTAGGCTGGGATGAAGTGCTATGGTAATGGACAGACCCAGGAGCTGTGGGCACGTGTGGAGGCTGGTGTCTGTGCTTCTGGACCAGTGTGTATGGTGTGCTCTTTGGCTTTGTTTTACTCTGTAAATTACTAGCCTGGAAATTGCTATGTGTCTGATGGTGGCCTTGAACTCCTGATCCTTCTAACTGAGCTTCCTGAGAATTATAGGAATACACCACCACAATCTGCTTGTTACTTTTGCTTTTGGTGTCTTACCTAAGAAACTGACATATGAAGAAGGGATATATGTTTAATTAGAAAGATACTGTTATGGTTCAAACTCATAATTAGGCTTATTGGTCAGAGCCCATTCCACAAAGATGTTTATGTTTCACAAGAGCATTACTTTGAGCTGGGTTCTAATCCCCCCTGCCTCCCCAGGAACTAGAAACCTTACCAATTTACAAGTGGATGTACTTTTATCATGGTAGAGTTTTAAAGCTGGATCTTAATTGTCTGTTGGCAGTAAAGCTCTTTGGTGGCATGTCTAACTCTAGACATTTGGTGTCCCAGACAATCCATTGATGCTAGAGGGATGGGGTGGTAATGCGTGGATGCATGAACTGTGCTCTGTCTCTTGAGAGTTCAAAATAAAATCACAAGAGTTCTCAAGCAGACAAATGCAGCAATCTCTAGAGGTGCAGAGGCCTCACCGGATTGCTGGGTTATCCCCTGGGACCACCTATCTTGCAGGTGTATTTTTGGTAGGGCTGATAACCTTGCCTTGAATTATTGTCAGGATTTTCCCCTAGTTCACTAGCAATGGTTACTAAGCTGCCTGGATGGGCTTTCCCAAATGAGCAAGGCACAGAATGGGCCCCTGTTAGATTAACCCTGTGAATTCTTTAGTAGTTAAAGAGAGAGTCAGAAGGGCAAAGTCAGATTCTATGAAGGAAAGCTGAGATTCTAAGTGCCAATAAGCAAATGGCAAAGTTAAAGGACAGATAGGGTTGAGGTTGGGGCTGAAAAGCTGATATGGTTCTAGGCCCTACTGCTTGCTTTTTTTTTTTTTGTTTGGTCATGGGGCTTGAACTCTAGGCCTGGGTACTGTCCTTTAGCTCTTCAGTTCAAGGCAAGTGCTCTACCACTTGAGCCAAAGCGTCACTTCTTGTTTTCTGGTGGTTAATTGGAGGTAAGAGTCTCATAAACTTTTCTGCCCAGACTTTGAACCGTGATCCTCAGATATCAGCCTCCCGAATAGCTAGAATTACAGGCATGAGCCACCAGTGTCTGGCTATTGCTTGCTTTTTTGGTCAATGATTCTTCAAGAGTTTGTTAAGAACTAGTTCTAAAGGAGGGTCCTAATATTTAAAAATGACATTTTTCTTTTTTTTTTCAAGATTACAGAAATGATAACAATTGTACAAACATATTCAGCCTTGAATAATTCTACAATAGAAGGCATAGATATTATGGCAATAAAATTCAAAAATATTTATCAAGGGGTTAAGAAAAAGCAATATGACATTCTGGATCCACGAAGGACAGAATTTGACACAGATTTCTTAGAATTTATGGCAAAAATCAATAGTTTAGAGGTAAGCAGTTATATAAACTTGTACTCAGGAAAGCTGATGAGTGGCCAGTGGTACTGTCCAGTACTGTAATTACAAATGTTCATATATATTAATGTTTGCATACTTCTTATTTTAAAGTCTGGTTACAAACTGATTGAATATATTTGCAGTGTGGATAATTTTTTAAAGTAGCCCACAAAATATTTTCCATCTTGTTGAGCACTGGTGGCTCATGCCTGTAATTCTGGCTACTCAGGAGGCAGAGATCTGAGCATCACCGTTCAAAGCCTGAGCAAGAAAGTTTGTGAGACTCTTTCCTCCAATTAACCTCCAGAAGTGGAGCTCTAGCTCAAGTTGGTAAGTGCTAGCCTTGAGCAAAAAAGCTCAGGGACAGCACCCAAGCCCTGAGTTCAAGCCTTAGGACCAGCACAAAATACAAACAAAAGAAAAATTGTACTTGATTTTTGTTGTGCCAAGGAATCAGGGGTTCAATAGAGAGTTAGGGAACGTGGATGGCCAAGTAAAATGGCTTGGATATTGATAAAACAAATCACATCTTGTTTAACTGATGTGAGGTAGAGCAACTTGAGACACACAGGTGGGTCTTGTTGAGACACAGCCCTCACTGCCTTCAGGGAAAGGAAGTCATGATCTAAGGATCCAAGGCAATAAACTGCCTGGCATGTGGGCGGAGTTGATGCTTCAACTGACTTCTTTTCTGATACAAAGCTCTCACCGTCTGCAGGTTTCCTTCCATCTTACTGTATAGTAAGTAGTTGCTCTCCCTCAATTACTGCTTCTTTGCACTCTGGAGTTTAACTACCACCATCAGTTCAGACCCCTGATTGTAACTCAGCTTCTGACCCTGCCTGGCCCTAGAGGAAGAAGGTCCACCAGGGCTTGCTGTGGGTGAACAGATAGCTCCTGCAGCTGTGGCCCACAAAGCTGGCATGGCATCTCTATATGCCTTCTTTATTTATTGAATTTAAAAGTAGCCAGATGCCAGTAGCTCATACTTGTAATCCTAGCTCCTTAGGAGGCTGAGATCTGAGGCTCAAGGTTCAAAGCCAGCCCAGGCAGATACATCTGAGAGGCTCTTATAGCCAGTTAACCAAAAAGCTGGAAGTGGAGCTGTGGCTCAACTGGTAGAGTGTTAGCCCTGAGCAAAAAAGCTCAGGGACAGGTCCTGTGTTCAAGCCTGGCACGAACAAAAACATTATTGAGATACTTAACATTATCTTTTTGTGCACTAAGTCTTTGAGATGCATGTATTTTTATTATTTTTATTTTTTTTGGGGGGGTGGTCTGGTTGTGGGCCTGAACTCTGGGCCTGGGCACTGTCCCTCAGCTCTTCAGCTCAAGGCGAGTGCTCTCTCACTTGAGCCACGTCACCACTTCTGGTTTTCTGGTGGTTCATTGGAGATAAGAGTCTCATGAACGGGCTGGGAAGGTGGCTCAGTGGTAGAGCACTTGCCTTGCATGCCTGAGGCCCTGGGTTCGATTCCCAGCACCACATAAGCAAAAAGAAAAAAGCCGGAAGTTGTGCTGTGGCTCAAGTGTTAGAGCGCTAGCCTTGAGCTGAAGAGCTGAGGGACAGCGCCCAGGCCCAGAGTTCAGGCCCCACGACCGGACCCAAAAAAAAAAAAAGTCTCATGAACTTTCCTGCCTGGGCTGGCTTTGAACTGCGATCCTCAGATCTCAGCCTCCTGTGTAGCTAGGATTACAAGTGTAAGCCACTGGCACCCAGCTCAGACATTTCACTTCTAAGTACTGACCTGTCAGGTACACAGTAGTGATGCTTGGCTTGGTTTCTGCCATGTTGGCTGAGGCTTAGGTAGTATGTGTGTTTGAGGCTATTTTGATTCTGTAAGGAACTCATTACCTTGTTCAACAAAGCTAATCTCTTCCTTGACATTGAACATTACTCAAGTTATTAATGTTTTATTTTAGTTACAAATACAAGGATTTATGAACACTACTTTTGGAAAAATCTTATCGTCTCAGCAGGCTCTTCAGCTACTTCAAAGGTATGTATAATGCTTCTAAGCAGGGTCTTGTCTAGGCAGGATAACTTTCTATCCAAAAATACAAATTTCTTGGAAATCTTTCCTGTATAAACCGTCAAAATTATAAATATTAGTTTGTTTTCAATGATTACTACATAGACTGGCAAAATGGGGGAGTCCTGTGTCAGAGGCCCTTTTGGATCAATCTCTTTTCCCTCCCTCCCTCCCTCCCTCCCTCCCTTCCCTTCCTCTCTCCCTCTCTCCCTCCCTTCCTTCCTTCCTTCTTTCTTTTTTTTTTTTGTTGGTCGGTCATGTGGCTTGAACTTAGAGGCTGGGTGTTTCCCCTGAGCTCTTTTGCTCAAGGCTACCAGTCTACTACAGGACTTTGAGCCACAGCTCTTTGACTAGTTTTTGAGTGGTTAATTGGAGATAGGAGTCTTACAGGGACTTTTTGCCCAGGCTGGCTTCAAACTGTGATCCTCAGATCTCAGCCTTCTGACTATTGAGGATTATAGGTATGAACCACTGCCACCCAATTTCTTTTCTGAGAGCCAGCAGATCTGTCTTTGGACCTGGCTCGGCCATTGCCCTATACTGTATAGTTGTTCTACCTTGACAGACCATCACAAGATTAAAAGTAGATATGAAATGATTTTGAGATTGGCAGAAGTATCATATTTTCTCCTCCCCCCTCTATTCTTCTCTTTACCTATAATATGCTGTTGTCAATTCATTTCTATTACCAAAACATTATGGCAGCACTTCCTGTACATGAGTTAGTGTGCAGTGGAAGTGATGTTTGGCTGACAGTCGGTATTGTGACTGTAGATGTTTGTAACTCTGGAACCATGGATGTTGGCAGTGGTAGTCAGTATGCTTCCCACCATCTCTACTGTATCAACTTCCCATACATCCTTTTAGTATTCATTTAAATGCCACTTTTCCAGGAAAGTCTTTCTTCATTACTCAGCTCCTCAGACTGTCTAAGTTTCCCATTATATGCATTTCCAGTACCCTTCCATCTTTTCATTGTATAGCAAGTGGTTGTCTGCCGTAGTCCCCGCTCTTTGCACTCAGGAGTTTGGCCACCACCACCAACCCAGTCCCTGAATCTCTTGACTGTCATCTGTGATGGAAGGGTCTAGGAGAGCCAGGAACATGCCTTGTTTATCATTCTATGACCCAGGATAATGCACGAGACAGCACAACTGTTTGTCAAATGCACGAATAAGCCTTTAGTACTCCAGTAATTCTTAGTATATTTCTCATTTCCCTTTTTAATCACTCATCACAAATTCCTTTCAGATTTCAGAAGCTGAACATTCCCTGTCTGCAGTTAGAAATCAATCGTACAATTGAGCGAATTCTTCAGTATTATGTGGCTGAACTTGAAGCTACTAAGAAGGTAATTGTCAATTTATAAGTGGAATAACACATTAATACCAAAGGGGGGAAAATCGTGTGTGTGTGTGTGTGTGTGTGTGTGTGTGTGTGTGTGTGAGAGAGACAGAGAGACAGAGAGACAGAGAGACAGAGAGACAGAGAGAGAAACTGGAACTTGTCAGGGCCTTGGGGCTCTTGGCTTTTTCACTCACTTCTTTTAGCTGGCTAATTGGAGATAAGAGTGTCATGGACTTTCCTACTCGGGCTGGTTTTTAATTGCAATCCCAAAATCTCAGCCTCTTGAGTAGCTGGGATTACTGGTGTGAGTTACCAGTGCCAGTCCTGGCCTTGAACTCAGGGTCTGGGCATTGTCCCTGAGCTTTTTGCTCAATACTAGCACTGTACCACCACTTCTGGCTTTTTCTGTTTATGTGGTACTGAGGAATTGAACCCAGGGCTTCATGCATTCTAGGCAAGCACTCTACCACTAAGCCACATTCCCAGCTCAAAAAATTCTTAAAAGTATCTGCCAAGGTTTTCAGAACCATTCTTTTATGTGAAGGACAGGGAGGCACCTCAGTAATGTGGGAAGGAACTGACAGCATACTGCTGGACATCTAGCACCACACTTCTTTGCTCATAAGAACTATCTTCTTAAGCCAGTACCATGGCTCACACCTGTAATTCTAGCTACTCAGGAGGCTGAGCTCTGAGGATCTCGGTTGAAAGCCAGCCCGGGCAGGAAAGTCTGTAAGACTCTTAACTTCAATTAATACCAGAAAACCAGAAGTAGTGCTGTGGTTCAAGTGGTAGAGTACTAGCTTGAGCTGGAGAGCTATAGGACAGTACCTAGGCCCAGAGTTCAAGCTCCAGGAATGAAGGGCAGGGTGGGGTGGGGTGGGGAAACCCAACTGTCCTCTTTTGCCATAGTAGTCGTTTGTGTATACAGGTGCACATTTGGGTTCACCATTTTTTTCATACTGGTTCTGGAGAGAATTACAGTGGATACTGCAAAGCTCTTCTTTTGAATACCTCTTTAAGATTTGAGATAAGGGCAGAAGAAAATGTAATAGGAAACAAAGGTTAAAAGAAGATTAAGTATCACACATTATAAATACTGTTTTGGATCTATGGGTTATCATCTCTGAAATATATTTACATATTTATTAAGTATCTCTTGTATATACAACATGTAATAATGATGTGAATATAGCTGTGCTTTTTTTCTTTTTTCCATTGTATTGAGTTTAAACATTAGCATATTTTTAATTACAGCTTTATCATTCTCAAAAAGAAGACCCCCCTCTTGCTCGCAATATGCCCCCTATAGCAGGAAAAATCCTCTGGGTGAGACAGCTCTATCGGCGGATAAATGAGCCCATCAACTATTTTTTTGTAAGCTAAGCCATTAATTAAATTTATAATATGCAAATTCTGGTGGTTGGAATGCAAGATTACATTACAAATGCATTGTATCCTGTCCTGCTTGTGCTCAACAAAGCAGTTGGAGTCAGTGCTTTTACAGAGCAAAGGAAATTTAGCTTATAAACGTACTGGAGAGAGACGAGGCCAGGGCTTTTCCCTTCAGCTGATAAGCCAGTTCAATTACAGTTATCTCTACATTGGAGAGTTTTATATTGCTATGTCTTTTAACAACACAAGGCACTTGATAAAGGCTTTTAAATACAACTGCTTTGCAAACACAATAAAGTGCTGGCCTGCCACTGAAGCTTGCATCCCGTGGGGACTGATAGGTCACTGATGGGTATGTTATGTAGGAGACTGTGGGTGTGCTTACACGAGGAACTGAGCCCTGGATGGGGAATGGCAGAGTGCACACATGCCCTGCACGCTTGAGATGATTACACTTCTGAAAAACATCCACTGACTTGTGGAGCTGCCACTTTGTCCTTTTGTGTTTTGTTTATTTTTGTTGTTTTAGTTTTGTTCTTATTTAAGAGACAACGTAGCTGAAATAGAGTTGATTTGTTTGATGCTTATATCTACATACAGAACAGAATTGCTACGAATGATAGTCTTGCGAGTAACTTTGTTTAAAGGACATTACTAAATATGTTTCTGCTATTTCTCTTTAGCTGCCATCATTTATGGGGAATATTAAAAAAATAAAATTCTGGCCTTAGATCAGAAACCACCCTGGCCTCTTTTTGAAACTTCATCCCTTCCATTTGTATTTGTATTTTTATTTTTGTAAGTTTTTTTTTTTTTTTTTTGTCGGTCGTGGGGCTTGAACTCTGGCCTGGGCGCTGTCCCTCAGCTCTTCAGCTCAAGGCGAGCGCTCTACCACTTGAGCCACAGCGCCACTTCCAGTTTTCTGGTGGTTTATTGGAGATAGGAGTCTCACAGTCTCTCCTGCCCTGACTGGCTTTGAACCGTGATCCTCAGATCTCAGCCTCCTGAGTAGCTAGGATTACAGGCGTGAGCCACCAGCGCCCGGCTTCTTATTTTTGTAAGTTTTAAAATTTGTTTTTGTCAGTTGTAGGGCTTGAACTCAGGGTCTGGGTGCTGTCCCAGAGCTTTTTTGCCCAAGGTTAGTGCTCTACTACTTTGAACCACAGCGCCACTTCCAGTTTTCTGGGGGTTAGTTGGAGATAGGAGTCTCACAGCTTTTCCTGCCTGGGCTGGCTTTGAACTGCAATCCTCAGATCTCAGTTACCTGAGTTGCTAGGATTACAGGCGTGAGCCACCAGTGCTCCCTCATTCCTTCAATCTTCAACAAAAGGGAATTTGTTTTTTTAATCCCTTAGGAGATGGCTACTGTTTTTTTTAAATTGTTTTATTATTATAAAGGTGATGTACAGAGGGGTTACGCTTTTAGGAAAGTACTCTCATGTTCACAGTTCAAGGAAACCCAGCCAGAAAAGTGGGGATGGGGTTAGAAAATTGGAGGGAAAATTGGGCTGGGAAGGTGACTCAGTGGTAGAGCGCTTGCCTTGCATGTATGAGGCACTGGGTTTGATTCCTCACCACCACATAAGCAAAAAGACAAAAACCAGAAGTGGCGCTATGGCTCAAGTGGTAGAGCGCTAGCCTTGAGCTGAAGAGCTGAGGGACAGCGACCAGGCCCAGAGTTCAGGCCCCATGACCGGAACCCCCCCAAAAAAAGAAAAAGAAAAAAATTGGAGGTGGAAATTACTAATGTCTGAATCTGGTTATGGGTAGTAAATAATCTCCTTTATGTCTTCATTTTTCCAGTGTTCTCTTTCTACTGATAAGGCTTACCCTCTCCTGATTCTAGCTTTTCTTGCCTTTCCTACCTCCATCTTTTTCTGAGGCCAAATCTAAATTGCTAGCACAATTATATGATGCCATTTAAAGTATCAACAGTTTATGAAAAAGAATCTGCAGCCTCTTAAAATGCACCTTTTTTGCTTTTGTCCCTTAAAAAATAAACAGAAAAACTCAGACATTTTATCAAGTAATGAAGGGAAAGCTGTGATCCGACAGTACAACAAAATCTCCTATGTCCTGGTGGAATTCGAGGTGGTGTACCACACGGCCTGGGTCAAAGAGATTTCACAGTTACACTACGGTGAGTGGCAGACCGGGGCTTGCTACTTCCAAATGAGTTCCTGATGCCGGAGAATTTTTTTTTACGAATGTGAGGCTATTCAGAGTTTATATTTAAGGATGTACAATGGCTTATTTGTTTATAGTTGTTAATATTCTGGCATTTCAAGCAAAAGTTGTCATGACCTTTAAAAGTGATAAACTAAGTTATGACTTTCTTTGGAAAACAGTATTTAGATGTGAACATATCTCTGGAGATATCTCATAGATTTACATAGGTTTTACTAGTCATTTTCTTCTTCTTGTTACAGATTCAAAGGTTAGTCCCATTTCAGAGGAGATAAATTTGTAGCCTCTTCTCTCTGTGTCTCTGTCTCTCCCCTGCCCCCTTTTCGTGTTCCTTCTTGCTTTCTTTTCCTATTGCTAAATTCATTTCAGTGTTAAACTTTAGCATTTTAAAAGTGTTGGGGTTTGGGCTTTGGATAGAGTTGAATTCAGGATTCCTTTCTCCTTCCTGGCATTGTGTTAGGATATGGATCCTGTGTGGACTCAATTATTGGTCAGCTAATCTGCCCATTTTGTCCTTCCTTAATCATAACTTGAACTCTAAGCCCTTGCCCGTGACTTTGGTGGAACTATATGGTGTACTGTAATAGTTCTGTCTCTTCAGTCCGATCACCTCTGAGCAGGGATGGAACAGCAGGGACAGGTGGGACAAATTTTTCTGTCACTCCCAGTAGGGAGAGATGGGGTGCAGGGCCATTCCTATTTCTACTTCTTGGTTTCAGTGCTCATATTGTTTAGCTCTGGGGACAGAGGTGCTGTCCACAGGCCACTGATTCCCTGCTAAGCAAATCCTAGACCACAGGGACCCTACCCTGCAGGTGCCATCCGTAACTAGCACCATAGTTAAGCCTACAGTAAGCCACTTTTTCAGGCCAGTTCTTGGGGGTAACTGCTATATGTGGGGTCTATGGATCATAATGCAAACCTCTAACTATACCACTACTTTCAAAGGAGTACCAAGGTAAGTTTAAACTGGGTGCCAGTGGCTTATTTCTGTAATCCTAGCTACCCAGAAGCTGAGTTCTGAGGATAGAGGTTTGAAGCCAGCCTGGGCAGATAAATTCAAGAGACCTTTATCTTCACTAACCAACAAAAAACTGCAAGTAGACATGTGGCACTAGTGGTAGAATACCAGCCTTGAACCAAGAAAGCTAAGCGAGAGGATGAGGGCTTGGGTTCAAGCTCCAGTACACACACACGCACACACGCACGCACGCACGCACGCATGCACACGCACACACACACACCCGCTCCCTTATTTGCCTTTTCCGTAGTTTAAGTGTTAAACTTTGTGTTTGTGAGTGTGTGTATGCATGTGAGTGTGTGTATGCATATATGTGTGTGTGTGTGTGTGTGCCAGTACTGGGTTTTAAGTCAGATTATGAGTTCAGTGCATCTTTTTTTTTAATTTAATTTTATTTTATTTGTGAACATACTGTACAGAGGGGTTACAATTACATGGGCGGGATAATGCGTACATTTCTTACCAAGAATTGCAGCCTCCTCCTTTGTTTACCCTTCACATCCCTTCCCAGCCTCCCCCCTCCCTCCCAAATGAGTTCAGTGCATCTTGATCAATGTCACTCCTTCTAAATAGAATTTTTAAGAATGGAGGGCTGGGAAGGTGGCTCAGTGGTAGAGTGCTTGTCTTGCATGCCTGAAGCCCTGGGTTCGATTCCTCAGCACCACATAAGAAAAAAGATAAAAGCCGGAAGTGGCGCTGTGGCTCAAGTGGTAGAGCGCTAGCCTTGAGCTGAAGAGCTGAGGGACAGAGCCCAGGCCCAGAGTTCAGGCCCCACGACC